CATAGCATATCATGAAAAAGTATGCGGATGGGCGCAAAAAAGGACATCCAGTTTGAGATAGGGGATATGATATACTTTAAGCTTTATCCCTATAGATAAAGGACGGTAGCTAACAAGAGGAATGAGAAGCTAGCCCAAGGTATTTTGGCCCTTATGAGATATTGGAGAGGATTAGAGCAGTGTTTTATTGATTGAGGTTACCCCCAACCGCTACCATACACCAAGTGTTTCACGTGTCATAATTGACGAGAGCTAATGATGACCATGCATCCAATTCAGAGTTACCCATGACACTACCATAGGATTTGGAGATGGTGTTGGAACCATTGAAGCTGAAAGCAGTATGACAAGGAGAGGAGGGATCAAGTAAGTGCTAATAAAATGGAAGAAAATACTCGAGTATGATGCCACCTGGGAGCCATCAAGGGGGTTAAACAACAGCTTTCATTTTTCCACATTGAGGACAAGGTGGGCCTTTGGGAGAGGGGTATTGTTAGATTGGTCCCTCCTGGATCGGGCATAAGAGGGTAGGTCCATCCTAGACCGACAAGGGTGTATGTGAGGCAGAACTAATCCGCCTAGTTACGCCTAGGGTTTCAAATGGGAGAGGGACCGACTAGGAGGGAAAATTCAAGGGGGGAGACTATTTTGGGAATTTTCTTGGTTTTGTATGCTTTAAGTAATTTATGTTAGGGTTCAATTTTTTGGGAGGTGATATTTGTTGAATTTAGATTGTTCTTAGATTGAGTGGGCTCTACCCGCTGGCTAGGATTTAGGAGAGTCAGATCTTCCTCCCCAATTGAAGATCCAATTGTATATTGTCTTTCTTTCATATTTATTTCAATAAAAAGGGCATCCTTGTGAGTTCTTCCTATTTTCTCTTGTTCCCAATTTATAGTTTGCTGAAATCAAATTCAGCCAAGTAATTTCACAAATTCTACATCCACTACCTATCAGTTACTTCTCTCGCTATATTATCTCTCTTGAGTTATTTGCTATTTTATTCATCTTGAGATATTTACAACACTTTTGTGGTAAGATTGAGTGTACTTGGATTTGGATAAAAGTACTTTTTGTGTGCCTTCTTTATGCACACATTTGTTTGGCTTCTTATATAGGATTGAATCACCTCTAATCTCCTCTAAGAGGACATTTTGGCAAAACCAAGTAAATCTTAATGTCTTCTTATGGTGCTTGATTCCTTTAATTATTATTTTGTGTGTTCATAATATTTGATCCTTATAGTGTTTTCGCATAAAAATTAGATATTGTTTCAACAAATTTATCCATGTTATATAAACATGGATGCAAGTCAATTATTAAATAGCAACATGATGGAGCTAAAACATTTAAAATTAAGAGTAAAATCATGATGGAAAGAAAACATATTAGATTTTTATAGATTTAAACTTAGGAGAAAAGAGAACATACATAATATCTTGATAACAACAAACATTTCAAATTTGATATTATGATAATTAAAACATGCCTTTTCGTTAATGTAATTTACAAAGTTTTCGTGGCTAAACTGTGAGAGAAGTTGTTTGGCAAGCACCCTAAGAAGAATAATGTATACCATGCACTAAATGACCTGATACAGGCCACTACATTTACCATGAGCCATGCATCAACGAGAACATGGCTGCCATTGAGATGACTGAGATGATAGTTTGCTCTCACCCCTAACGTGAAAATTTAACAAAGCAGTTGCTGCCAATATGTCTTAGCATAATAGGTAGTCTTATCACAACATTCTTTGGGAGGAGTTATTTTGGCTCATTTATATAGGGAGCTTTTTGAGGATACTATTTGAATAGGGAGAACTCGGGACGAGTGCATCCATTTGGTATAGGTCTGGTAATGAGAGCATCTTCATGCAGGGCAACAGACATAGTATGCATTATCAACTCAAGGCCTGAGGGACAAGGAATTAAGCTACAAATATAATTTTTACACTACAAAATTGTTTTACCCGTACATGCTAACATCCTTTACATCATGATCAAAGTACTATTTTAAATTAGAAATGATAAATTAGATGAACAAGCATTATCTGAGAGAATTACCAAGAAATTCAACATTATTTTGTAGAAATGGGTTGGATGGGCTTCATTGAAACAAAGTATTGTTTATATAATGTTAAATGATACTCCCATAAGATAGCATATTAACTAACAAAATTATAAATCATTACTTCATAAAAAGTTACATGGGTGTCACATACATTGAGAGTTGCCATATACATTGAGAGTTACACCAATTGTGTTTGGAAGGTAAAAAGATCAATCTATGTTAGGACCAATATACTTTGCTGGGTTTGTATTGAGTTGCACCAACTACATAGGGTAATGGACCAATTTGGGTTCGAGTAGGGTATAGACCTAGAGGTGTTAGGGCTAAACTTCAAATAATTGGATGGGACTTGAAAACTATATATGACTAGTTCGCTTCCCATCATCAAAATTGGGGGCTATGGGATGTCTAACAATCATATATACATGTACATATGCCATACCATGTGCATGAAGACAAAGATGATGAGCTGTAGATATTCTTGTATGGTACCATTCCAAGGCACAATTATAATTACCAAAGGATTTGAGTGATCCTCCAAACATATATTACCCTCAAGCTCAATTCTACAGAGGGTTTGTAAATGTTATGTTTCAATTCATTCTATCCAAAGTTGAGAGTATTAAACCCATTGCCCACAATGATTTCTTGTTGAACAGTTTTTTACATAAGATACATGAACGACCAAGTTTTTGAGGCACAGGAGATGATGGAAGTAGCTTATAGCTAGCCATAAATTATGCATACAAGATTTGTGCACATATGAGACTCACCTATCATGTAGATGATTATGGATGGAATTACGCCGCTCAAGAGGCTCCACCATGTCGAACCATCTTGGGCAGCTCACAACCCAATTTCTACAACTTTGCCATCTCAATATGATGTCATGCCATCTTTTATTCCGCAATCCACGGCATATGCATTCCCACCAACTAGTCATGACATGAAGTCATCCCCAGCACCATCCCCACCACCACTTAATGCTACATACACCAATACAAAAGCTCAATATGTTGGGCCTTCTACATCAATCCAAGCAACCTTTTTTTATTGAGTGGATACTTCTCCTTTGGACGTGTCATTCCATAGCTAGGTAGGCATAGTTTGATATCAATCTGAGTTGGCTCGTGATAGGATGGGCACATTTATCACTGAAAATGAGAATAAGGATGAAGGGGACTATTTTAATCAACAAAAATGACATTAGCATCACACAAATGCTTAAACTTGATGGCAAGGATATATTGAGCGAGCATTATAGATGGTGATTATGTGTACTTCTTAATCGTTGCACTTCCTTTCTCAAATGGTTGCTGATGTATTACAATGAAACTTATCTTTGAACATGAATATCAATATTACTTACTCTCATGATCTATCCATTATTTGTTTAAATATTGCAGTTCAGTTTTAATAAATCTTAAACAATTACACGCATTCAATCATTATCAAATTAATTATGCTCAAATAAATATAAGCTCATGTTCAATAGATATTGTGATTAATAAATAATACTTTTGATATATTTGGTATGATACTAAAACTATAAAAACCATAGCAAATAACTTTTACATTAAAAAAAATTAAATATTTTAAATTTGAAAATAGAAGTACTCTACTACTATTTCAGCCAATGACAGGATGAAGTGACTTAGCTCCTCCCATCCTAAATTTAATCATTGAAATAGTTCAAAATAACACTTTCTCCTCTCTGAAAAGATGCCATATAGTTGGTTGACATGGGCCGAAGATGGGAGGTGAATTGGGATAATTTGAAAATGTTCAAATTACTTTGCTAGAAATTCAAATGATAGATTGCATCACTACACCACAGGATGTTAAGAAGCAAATAAAAAACAAACCACAAAATACATAAATGGCGCAACAACTACAAATCAAGCAAACCATCCATCAAACATTGAAGGGAAAACTCACTTCAAGCAAGCCATTTTATTTAATCATGGTTTCTAGAAGAGAAAACTTCACAAGAAGAGATGATTGGCAGTTTCTCAAGCAAAATAGAGCTTTGTAGAGAGAGAGTTCAAAATCACAAATTTTTTTGACCTAGGGTTAGATCTATCAATTTGTATGTCAAACAAAGCGCTTCATTTCACTTTTAAAATTAATTAAAAATATAATATACATGTAATCACAACTTCTAACATTAAAAAATCTGAGGTAATTCATCATTAAATGGCTCAAATCAATTTGAAATCATTATTAAAAATTTCCTAACCGACCCCACATAGTGGGATAAAGGCTTGATGTTGTTGTTGTATTAAAAATTTCCTAAAATCAACATTTACAGAGGCCTGCAAATTGTTTTGTAGAAACCTACAAACCTTTATGGAGACCTGTAATAACTTTTTCAAGATCCATAACCTTTATATTTTTACAGAGTTCTAACCTTTTTTGGAGGACTAAAAGAGCTTTGTCTTGATCCACAAACATTGATGGAGGACCGTTATGTGAAAAACATTTTATTCACTAATTATTTTGTTAAGCATAACCAAGCTCTTTCATATTAATTTCATGATTTAGTTTATTGATGATAGGGTCTTAAATTTTATTTTAAAAAACAACTTGACTCATAAACAAAGTGGTTTACTAGTTAACCTTACTTTGGTTGTTTTTCGTGCATGTCTCCAAGGCCCTCCTTCTAGTGGTTTACTACCTGATGATGCACCTATTCCTTGATACAAATAAACTGAGATCACCAGTCATAATTCCTTGGCAATATTTGTGATTATCAAAATCTAATTAACAGTCTTTAGGCTTCAGATCAACAAATATTGCATCAGAATTTCTAATCAACACGCTTGAGAAATTTAACCTAAATTTGTAAAGTTTACACAACCCTACACCGAGTAATTGCAAATTCAGTTTCAAAATACCTCAATCGCATAAGTCACACTGCCGATTACCTGATGCTCTAATATCTGATGCACCGAAGTCCTGCACAGCTCGCCGGCTTTCTTTCCCGGGCAGACTGCGTCCACGTCTATTCCAAAAGCTTGCAGTGCTTGGAAAGGAACCATCGCCTTCGTATTATCACCAAATTCACATTTTAGTTCGCAAAATATAAAAAACAACATCGAGGATGAGAAAGTGGAAGCCAATCCAAAGGGAATACCTCGTAATCTTCCATGTAATCTCCGCAGAGCAACAGAACTCTTCTCGGAGCTACGGCTTTCGCCATGTATGCCTCTTTTGCTAATCTTTTTATCGGAAGCACTGATCGGACTTTGGAGTGGTTAAAAGCAGGATGGTCCGGTGAATTCAATGTGGGTCCCTCCCTGACATATTACGTGGCTCGTTTGGGTTAGACATGGGGTCTGTCTGCTGTTATTGATGCTTTTCCAGATCACGATTCCACAGGAGCTATCTTGCTTGCTAGCCTTATAACTTGATAAACCCCACGCATAGCTTATGCCATCCATTTAAATCCATAAGAATAAGAAAGTAAAAATGGCCGTCAAATTATTTTTGGGTTTTCTTCTTTATGAGGATACTGTTATGAAATTCGAAGGTGTAATTATAAAATTATTGCTGAATAAAACATAATAGTAAAAATAAGATTGAACTGCCATCAACATCTTAGGCTTCATTTAGTTGTCTGGTACTTTTTGTAAAAGGTAATTTTTAAAATGTTGGTTGAAGAAACAGAGATTTTTATCAGAGAAATAAATATCAAAAAGCTTCTTAAAACACTAGAAAAATAACTTTCCGTACAAAACATTTCTGCAGAAGTGTCGCATACAAAGAGCAACAAAAAATAATTGTGTCGTTTTGACACAGAAAAGGTGAAATTAATCCGTCTCAACTAGGCCTTGGAGATATTATTAATCTATGTGTAACTCAATTATGAATAGAGCTCAATTACTTAGTCTTAGTTAACCTTAGTTCTTTTTATGGTTAGACTTCTCGTAGTTAGCTTTGTTAGGGTATTAAAAATTCTCACTTGATCTTGGATCAATAATTGTCAAACCACTTGGGAAGATTAAATTGATAATCAATTTTCTTTCATAATTAATTAAAAAATAAATAAGTTTAGAATGACACAGAACATCACTAGAAGAGCCATATTCAAAATATCTAAATTAGACAATCAGAAGAACTAGAATTACATGAACTAAGGTGAGATGTCTTGGCCTAGATATATTAAATCAATCTTCATCTTCACTTACACATAAGGAGACACTATCACAATTGGTTTTTAGGTTGTTAAATTAGCCCCATGAAAAGCAATCTCTACTTTTATATTGTGGCATCCGATTGTATCGATGTAATATATCTAACAAGATTTTCACTTCCAAAATATATTGTGGCATCTATAAACCTTCATTTCAAAAACTATTTTTGTGAGTAATTGTTGCTTCCGATGATACGAACATTTCGGTATAAAAATAGTTGCATACTATTGTTGTTTCTAACAACCTCAAATATAAATAACAAACCTTTTTTGTAATTACTCTCATCAATCAACTCATTGGAATTTCAATGTCATCTCGATTGGACTTGTGCCATCAAGATACATAAAATGATATATGTGTAGATTAAAGACATTAGCAGTGACAATCAACATTGGACAATCATCCACTGCTCTAGCTTCACTCAAATTGAGTGGGTTGATCAGCTAGCCTAGAGGTACGACCACCTAACCAATTTTTAATTATAGGGGAGCACAATCTTCATTTTTATTATTGATAAGTGTTAGTATTCTAGTTCACTTAGGATAAGTGCTCATATATCCCTCTTAAAGTATATAAATAGTTATAGAACTTTATTCATATAGGATATTTAAAACATTTACATCTTAGAAGAATTCTAAAATAATGATCCTTACATGAAGATATTCCTCTACTTGTTTGTATTACCCTATTTATTGCCCCAAGGTCAAGCCATTTCACATATATGTGAAGGATATTATAGACCATTCTTAGTGTCTCTATAGCTTTTCAATGTCAATACATCCATCTCCCTTAGGTCATTTATCTATTAGCTCTAAGAGGGGACTATATCAACCATGTATAGTGGCATTAATGACCTTTCAGCATTTTAACATCTATCACCTTCAGGTAATATAGCAATCACCTCCTAAAGGGAGGCAATCATGGCAATAAATCTTATTTCATTGTTAACAAAGAGGATATGAAAAACTATCTAATTTTACTATTTTATGTTGTCATCTTCTTAAAGTTCATCAAAAAGTGATACATCATAGCTCATATGCAATATTATTAAAAATAATTTGAGCTAGGATAGAGCCTATGACTTTTTTATTTTCCTTATAAAAAATATTGTATCCCCATATCACTCAATTTTGCTTATTTGATTATATGCCAGTCATGATTCAAAGCTAAGGTATTTGAAATCTCTCTCTACGAATATTGTCTCAACTTCTAGTACATAGTATACACCATCTTATTATTTTTTGAAGAAAAGAAACTTGCTTATGAGTTGACTCAAACACATTGAATTAAGCTCAATTTACTTGAACTTAATTTACTGATTCAATCTCTAGTTAAAGCTAGGATGACTCAATTTCAACTTGACTTCATTACACTTTTATTTATGGACATAAAGCTCACGTTGCATTGAAGGTGACCTATATTTTCTATTTTATATGAAAAAGTACATCTTTAAAAGGAATTAAACCACAAATATGACTAATATAAGACAAACTTGATGAATCAATGGACAATAAATTAAAAATATATCATGAATATTTCCTTTAAATAGTATGATAAACCATGCATGACTTGGTTATCAGGGTAGAGGTTCCCATGGGTTCAAACCTATATGAATAATTATATTCTTGATATAATGTCAAAGAATAATCTCAATTAAGAACTTTATACTCATGTTCTCTTAGCTACAAAGAAGATTAAGTTTTTTCAAGCATAATATTTTGAGATTGTGGTATAATACTAAAGAGGATTATGGATGTTAAGGAATATAATTCTATTCAATGAAAAATCAATGAGTCCATATGGCTAGGAGAGAGCATAATTTTTGCTAGAACTTTTGCACAGGATATTCTATGGGTTCAAGATATTGAGTGAAACAATCATATGAGAAAGTTCAATGAACTTTGAGGTCAAAATATGAAGACACCTTTCTATTATAGGAGGCTTGAGGGTTAAAAATTTGTAGTAATCCACGGGGTTTGCTCACATCACATAACATTAATGATTGTTACATATAAAAAAGGGTTATTTCATTTACTTATTAATACAATATTTATAACAAAGCTTAAAAGATGCTCATAAGTGCCAATAAATCAACATGATATATTGCAAATCCTATGAAAAATAAAGGTTGTATAATGTGGCATGAAAATATGTCCAAGTATGTATATGTGCATAGTAGGCAAACTACAATAATAGACTATACAATTTTCAAATCCATATAAAATAAATTTAACATTGTGTAATTAGAATAACTAAGTGCGCAAATTTTGAAGTTTTAGATCAAATTGTCTAACATGACTAAAAAAAGCTTAGAGAAAGTCAAAGGATTAATTCTCAAATGTCTACAACTTTTACTAGCATCTTTTTAAAATTTCTCATAAATTAACTATAATTTAAGAAAAATAAGATTTTTGAAATATTTTAGAACTTAAATAATTGAGAAACATAATATTATATTGAGTATAAACTTAATCTAATATGTTAATTCCAAAAGAAGATGGGTCTTCTGGATAAATGTAGTTAAATGAACTAAAATAATCACTAAGTTTCTTGCACATAAATATTTTATTTTATTTTAATTGCCCTTCAAATCAATACTACAATGAGCCATGAAAATGTAATGATGGCCATTTGTAAGGGGAGAGGTTTGTCAGTTGAAATGTTTTAAGGTAGTCCCCAAGTATCATTTAAGGCAAGTGATAAGCTAATTGACCCAAATTCTTGAATGAGATGGAGAGTCATTTGAAAAGACACTGAGTTCCAACCAGATGCTTTGGAGGCATTATGTGGCATGTTATCTTGATTGTGTGGAGTTTTCTATTAGGAGTCAACAAGTAGCTAAGCCGGTGGGGAGGCTAAAGTAGTAGGAAGTCAATGTGACATCATCAATATATTGGGTCGATAAGCCATTAGGTTGGAGAGTGAGTTCGCATCAACTTATATATGAATGAAGTAAGTTGCGCCAAAAGATGTGGATTATCATGGGATACAAAGGTATGAAGGTATGTTGTCTTAAAGTGAGATGAAATTTATCCTAGGATGTGGTAATCACAAGTAAACCCATAAAAAGACTCGGAAGTTGAAGCCATCCTAGGATGAGATGACAATAAGTAATCTCACAGTGATACAATTGTCATCTTAGGATTATATTGTGAAAAGTCATAGTGTAGTGAGATGATATGGCATATTAAGACAAGATGGTTATATGCAGTCTTAAGCCAAACTAATGGCATGTTATCTAAAGGTGAGGTAATGGGTTGCCTCAAATGATGAGAGAAGAGATGAGGATAAGGCAATATTAGTCTTGCATGGTGCATATCTGGTAAGGTGGTATCTAACCTTATAAATTGGGTAGGAAATCCCTCCTCTAATGAGAGTGTCCATTAAAGGATACATACAAAAATCATATCAACTTTCTAAGCGGTGGACGTCACTTTCTATCACAAAGGGAGGAGAATAAAAAAAGCGGCATTGAGAGAAGTGTTTGGCAAACTACCAAAAGCATTCAAGAAATGCATAATTTGAGGAGATAGGTGGGGAGGAGATGTTAGGTTATACTTATAAGCTCACATGTGCCCAATAGTGCAAAATGAATTGGCCTTATAAAATTATTATGAGTATTCATAAATTTAGCCAACTCAATCAAAATATATGGTTTACAAATAGGTAAAGATATTGAGAAAAATAGCCAAAGACCCCTAATCATTAAAATTGTAACATATATGGATTCATAGTGTACCATTCCACCTGTTCTAACCCGACCTCTTAAAGCTAATCCATTAAATTTCTGCATTTGAACTCTCTTGCATGTGTATAGGGATATTTTGTATGAATGTAATTGTCTAAATATATTTTGAATCGGGTTATGTGGGTTTATGTACATTATTTAGAAAATCTAAAAAAAATTTCCGTAAGATGCCATGGCACTGAGGGAGGTGGTGTTCTCTTTGAGCTCTCTATGTTTTGGCCAAATCAATTAAGGGTTGTTTGATGGACTGCTCGATCATGATTAGTTTGGTGCAGTGTATCAACATGTTTGTGTCTCTACTGGTGAG